TGTTCTCTGAACTTCCTAGATCTGTGGTTTAATGCATGATTAATTTTGGATAGTTTTCAGCCATTATGACTTCATATATTTCTTCTGTTTCTTCTTTATCTGGTATTTCAATTAAGCATATGTTACTTTTTTGCAGTTGTCTCATAGTTCTTGAATGTGCTTGAATCTTTTCTCCTTTTCCTTTCAACTTGGTATTGACATATTTATATTCTATTGACCTATTTATTCTATTGACCTATCTTTGTTCTCACTAAATCTATACTCAGGCATGTCCAATCTACTGTCAAGTGCATCAGAGATGCTCTGCCTTTCTGTCTGATTTCTAACATTTCCTTTTGATTCTTTCCTAGAATCCCCCCCTCTTCACTTTCATTACTCATCTCTTCTTATATGTTTTCTGCTTGTTCCTTTAATCTTTAACTTATTAACCATTGTTACATTAAATCCTGATAATTTCAGTATCTGTGTGTACCCTTTTGATTCTGATTCTTGCTTTGTTTCTTTAGACTCCATTTTTCTTGCTTTTTGGCATGCTTCATAATTTTTTTAAAGTCAGATTTTTTGTACTAAAGTTTGCTATAAATGTAGGGTCCAGAGAATTCAATTTCCTCTAGTATACTTGTTTTTATCTTCCCTATTGACTTTGGACTTCCCTTCTTCTTCAGAGATAATCTGCATTTTACAGCTCTTTCCATTATAATCCACTAGGCTGCTACTTTGGAGCCTGGTTGGTGTGATAAAGTGTGGTAGAAGGGAGGCATTATGTAGTCTAAGCATTAAATCTCAGGTTTTAGGATGCATGGGTCCCTGGGCTGTGACCCTCATAAGAGCATCTTCATGGTATAACTTTTTTCCCCCTTAGGTGAGACCAGAAAACTGGTTGGAGTAAGGATGCCCTTCCCCCACCTGGGATAAGGCTCTGCTAAGACAATAAAGGATCTGCCTGCAATGCAGGAGACCTGGGTTTGATCCGTGGGTCAGGAAAACCCTCTGGAGAAGGAAATGGTAACCCACTCCAGTATTCTTGCCTGGAGAACTCCATGGACTGAGGAGCCTGGTGGGCTACAGCCCATGGGGTCGTGAAGAGTCGGATATGACTGAGCAACTAACACTTTCCTTTTTTTTTACAAAGTCTTTTCCCCTCAAGCATATGTCTTTGTTATGAACAACTCTCTGGGAATATTTCACCACGATTACTCTTCCCCTTTCTGTGCCAAAGCCACAAGAGGATTTTCTTGGATCTTCACTGTGAGACAAGTTGGGTTTCAGGAACTTAAAGCTCACTGAAGACCCATAAAGCTGCGGTTCCACACGTTTCTCCTTCTCATCCTGGTTCATATTCAGTCTTCAGTTTTTCCTCAAAATCACCCTTTAAGTGTCTCTATCGGATTACGGCACCAGCAGCTTCCGCTTCAGTTCATGAATAAATCTCAGCTGTGACTCTGTATTTGCCTGCCTCACCAACATTCAAAGTGGAAGTTTGACCTGCAGTCTCTGGTCTCTGATGGGTCCATGGAAAATCATCAATTTTAAGTGTATTTGTCTTTATCACTATAAAGACAGGAATGACCACCTCCAAGTTCTTTATATGTTGGAAATGAAATCAACAGTCCTATTTTAATTTTCTATCCTATAGATAATTCTTCCCATCACATGAACTAACTGCTCTTATCCATACCTATTGTGTCAGCCTCACATGTTTGTAACGTGCCATGGAGTAAGAATACATGTCAGTCCTTCTCTCTTAATGTGGAACAAAATCACCCACAGAAGTGAAGCCCTTGGAGATTTTCTGAAAAACAAATGCTGTGTCTAGAAAGCAGGGTGACCATGAATAGAGGACTTGGTCCTACAAACCAAAGAAAGAGGAACATTGTCTTCTTAAAAATTTTTTTTTCTAACTGAGCTTAAGATATTCACCTCGACTGATTTATGAGAGTGTAGGTGGAAGCAAGGGCAGGGGTTGGATTTCCTCAAGCATGTTCTCCTGCCCGAATATGTTGCTCTTACTGCACTGATTTGGAGCTAAGGGTGTGTCTTACAAATGCTTAGGGCATGTCCCTGTAATATTTCATTATGTGCCAACGCAGTCATCATCCCCTGCAAAGTAGCAGTGTCTAGAAACAAGTTATCATTAGGAAATAATAAAGGCTATTCATTTTATTGACATCTAAAATGCATGAGAACATTTATGACCAAACTCATATATTTTTCTCATAATGAATATGTGGCATTAATTATCAAGCCTGCTCCAGGGATAGACATGTTTATAACATTATGAAACAGATCTTTCTTCTAAGTTAAGGATGTTTGCATTTGGAAGGAAATTACTGTGCCGGTTAATTTGGCCCAGTCTCTGATGACATCTTTCTGCAACCATCAATATTTTTCTCCATGGGTAGCATTTCAAAAATACTTGATATTACATTCTAAACAATGCTGTAGGAAACCATGTTTAATATTGTAAATTATTACAATTGAGGCATTACTTAACTAGAAAAAGCTATCTGAGTTCTATTTCATTTGAAAAACAATATGACATGTAGTAAAGGAAAAAAATAATTTATAATAGTTACTACTACCTCATTTAAGATATAATAACCAAGTTACTGCATCAGCTGGCATGCCTAAAAAGACAATATAATATTATATTTCTATACCATTAATATTAATGATAATAAATTGATATTTTTAGCACTACACTGAGAAGAAAGACCTTTGAATCCTCTTATTTTCACAATAGTTTAATTTATTTATCTTTTAATTGAAGGATAATTGCTTTACAGAATTTTGTTGTTTTCTGTCAAACCTCAACATGAATCAGCCACAGGTATACATATGTCCCCTACCTCTTGAAACTCCCTCCCATCTCCCTCCCCATTCCACCCCTCTAGGTTAATACAGAGCCCCTATCTGAGTTCACTGAGACATACAGAACATTCCTGTTGCCTATCTATTTTACATATGGTAATGAAAGTTTCCATGCTACTCTCTCCATACATCTCAAGCTCTCCTCCCCTCTCCCCATGTCCATAAGTCTGTTCTCTATATCTGTTTCTCCATTGCTGCCCTACAGATAAATTATTTGGTATCATCTTTCTAGATTCTGTATATATGTGTTAGTATAGGATATTTGTCTTTCTCTTTCTGACTTATTTCACTCTGTATAATAGGTTCTGGGCTCATACACCTCATTAGAACTCAAAGGCATTCCTTTTTATGGCTGAGTAACATTCCATTGTGTATATGTACCACTACTTCTTAATCCATTCATCTGTCAATGGACAGATGGCCAAAAAGTCTATGGCTTTTTGATGATGGTCATTCTGACCAGTGTGAGGTGATATCTTATTGTAGTTTTGATTTGCATTTCTCTAGTAATGAGTGATGTTGAGTATCTTTTCATGTGTTTGTTAGCCATCTGTATGTCATCATTGGAGAAATGGCTGTTTAGGTCTTTTTCCCACTTTTTAACTGGGTTGTTTGTTTTTCTGGCATTGAGTTATATGAGCTGCTTATATATTTTGGAAATTAACCCTTTGTCAGTTTTCATTTGCTATTATTTTCCCCCATTCTGAGGTTTGCCTTTTCTCCTTGCTTATAGTTTCCTTTGCTGTGCAAAAGCTTTTAAGTTTAATCAGGTCCCACTTGTTTACTTTGGTTTTTATTTCTGTTACTCTAGGAGGTGGGTCATAGAGGATCTGGCTTTGATTTGTATCATCCAGTGTTTCGCCTATGTTTTCCTCTAANTAGTATATAGGAATGCAAGTGATTTCTGTGTATTGATTTTCACAACAGTTTTTAATTGGATATTTTGTGAGAAGCAGAGAAGGCCTATGGCCTTAAAGAATGCATTGATTCCTAGAGTCCTTTCCAGGCTAAAAAGGCAATGGCCCTATATTTTTAGATCAGGTGAGTAAAGAACCCACTATGTGATCATACATCCTAAAATTCTCAATCCATACAGTAGAATCAATGACTGAAACAGCAAATTTCAGCACCAGTCAGAACTTGGAAAGTTTAAAATAAAAAAGAGGTATGGGACTTCCCTGGTAGCTCAGTGGTAAAGAATCTACCTGCCAATACAGGAGACATGGTTTCAATACCTGGTCCGGGAAGATCCCACATGCTGCAGAGCAACTAAGCCCATGCACTAGAATTACTGAACCTGTGTTCTGGAGCCTTGGAACCACAACCACTCAGACCCCCAGCCACAACTACTCAAGTCTCTTTACCCTAGAGCTGATGCTCCACAACAGGAGAAGCCACTACAGTGAGAAATCCACACACTGCAAAGAAGAATAGCCCACACTCTCCACAACTAGAGAAAAATCCAAGCAGCAATGAAGACCCACCACGGCCAAAAATAAAAATAAATAAACATTTTAAAAATAAAATTATTTTTTTAAAAACTCCAAACTCAATTATCAAAAAAAAAGAGCTTTGAAAGCATTACTTTACATCATTAGAATCAGGCCAGTAGAAAATGGATATTAAGATGTTAGAATTTGCTAAGAAAATGAATGTTTCCTATCACACATTTTTGTGTTCTTATTCCAATGCTTCCACTTACTAATTATGTATCCTAGACCAAGTGTCTGAATTCTCTGAGCCTCATCAGAAAAGAACTCTTTATGTCTTTATCTCCAAAATGAATTTAACAGTTTCTCTCCCACACAAACAATGATGAGGATTATATGAGGTAATGTGTAAAAAAAAAAAAGTTCAGTATAATGTTCAGCAAATCTTCAAGACCTATCTAAATGCTCAGACTTATCTCCTTCTTCCTCTCCTGCCTTGTAATCCAACCAATAGAAATATTTTCAATTTACTGGTTAAAAAAATCAGTATAAAATTCCTCTTGGTACTATGGTTATTTAGAAATGTTCAGCTATATAACTCTTTTGTTTAGTGTTTCAGGGAACACAGTAAAGATTAAACTTGGTCACAGCTACATGATTATGATTTAATAAGGAAAATGGCACAGACACATATTCTACCTTAAAAAGCGGAGCTGCAGTGATTACAAAAGTGATGAGTAGTCAAGAGGATCCAGAATTATGTTGGTAGTTTGGAGGCCACTGGATTTTACAGGAATTGTCCTGGAAGAAGTGCATCTTAAGCTATAATCTGAAAGAGAGAAAGGAAGTAATGAAGCAGAGGAAAGAGTTATCCTGAGCAAATATTTGGATTGACAAGGAGTATCAAGGTTAAGTGAAATATAGCTCTTAACATGGACAAACACCCACCCAGGCAGGTGCTCAGGACTTTCATTCTTCCTAATAATTACCCATAACTCTCAGTTAGGCTTCCCTGGTGGCTCAGATGGTAAAGAAACTGCCTTCAATGCAGGATACCAGGGTTCAATCCCTGGAGAATTCCATGGAAAAAAGGAGCCTGGTGGGCTATAGTCTATGGGGTCGCAAAGACTCAATACCTGAATCAGCCCTAAGCTGGAGGTCATCTATACTCTAGGCTTTTTCCCCCCATTTCTCTCCATTCCATCAAAGTAGACCTGTCCTACTTTGCAATACTTTTCAGTATTACATTACCCTCCTCTTTGTTTTTCAAGTAGACTAAGCTCATCTGAACCCGCTCCAGTATTCTTGCCTGGAGAATTTCATGGACATAGTAGCCTGGTGGGCTACAGTCCATGGGGTCACAAAGAGTAGGACATGACTGAAGCATCTAACATACACACACACACACACACAAGCTCATCTGACATAATAATATTTACTCATATGAGTGTAGGCATAAAGTACAAAATCCACACTATCCCACAAAAGTACTAATCAAATTTGAACATTTTTCTAGAACTATCCCAGAATCCACTAATCAAAATAAACAGAACCTGTAAACAAAAAATAAAAATTGAAAGCAACAGTTGCCCATTCCAAAGAATGAGCTAACCCATACTTGGGATATATGGTAAATATGGTAAAATAATTTTAAACATTATAAATTGAGTTACAGCATAAGCTAAAGTTATATAAATATTTACTTAGATGACAAAATATTTAGCTGTAAAATAATCTTACCTTTGGAGATATTTTATAATTTACAATATGAATGATTTTCATCACAGATGGTATAAAACAAATGCAATAATATTTTCCCTTGAGTGCTTAGACTGTTTCAGAAACAAAGATAGCTAATTTCTATGCAGAAACATCATGTTTGAAACTACAAACATTATCACAAAACACCATTATCTCAAAGCAACATGCATTTAATGAGCTCAGTTATTTCTTATCCAAGAAAACCAAGGATTTTGTGGTCTATTAGGCACCAAAATGTGAAAGATTATCATTGCAAAAAATAAATGTGTGGGTTTTTTTTTCTCTTTGAAAGTGTTCTCCTATTAAGTATAATCTTACTTTTAAACAATGTATGCAAATCTCACTGAATTTAGTAGTTTCATTAAACACATCTAGCAGGTTTTAGTAAACCAAGTTTTAAAAATAACTGCTCCATATTCTCATGTCAATAAGCAACCACAGGGACTTCCCTAGTGGTCCAGTAGTTAGGACTTTACCTCCAATGCAGGAGGTGCAGGTTCTACCACCCCTGATTGGGAAGCTAAGATCCCAAGTGCCTTGCAGTGGGAAATCCAAAACATAAAACAGAACCAATATTATAACAAATTCAATAAAGACTTTTAAAATGGTCCAAATAAAAAGTACTTTAAAAAAAAGTAACAACACATAGAAAGCAAATTCATACCATAAGTAAGAGAATCCCAGTGTCCTCTAGGTAGTTACAGTGTTTGCTTTATAGTTAACATCTGAACACTCCCAAGGTCTCATAGAACCATATATTTAGTTTACATCCCAGATGTACCAAGTGTGAGTCAGAGAGCTCTGATAAAGAGGTATGAAGACGTGACAGAAGCCATCTCCTGATGCCACTGCTAAATTTAGAATCATCATCTTCTTGCCTTTGAAAGACAGAGGTGAGGAGACCCTTATCTTGAACAATTATCATCAGTCTCTGATATCACCTATTTAATGTATTTCAGGAAATGATAACCCTGCTGCATGAATATTAAGCCACTGTGACCCAACATATCCTACTGGAAAGGGTTTTTTGTTTTTTTTAACGAACCTATTTACCCTAGCCAGATTTTAAAGTCCTGCAGCTCTGAATACAAACCACAAATTTTGAAATCAGGAATAAGAAGTGTTGGTGATGGACTCACTGTGTATCAAAAGTCTAGCATGTATGTGTATTCTCTGATCCAGGAAAACTACTTCTGAAAATATAAGGGAAATAATTATGTATAAATGTGCAATTTATGGATCTTCATTACAGAATATTTACAACAACAAAAATGTTCTCAAAGTATTCAAAAATTGACAATAAGTAAGATGTCCTCAATATAAAATGAATGAAGCAGACTATTTTGTCATTCCAACAAAAGTGTTATTTTGAACATACTTACTCACATAAAAAATGCTCATGTAATAGTTACATGAAAAAATGAAGTATAAAATAGTAGGTTAAATATGATCCCACATTTTTATTGCAAAGAAAATATATATAAATATATATATATAGTGGTTTTCTCTAGGAGATTGGACCTAGTTTTATCACTGAATTTAGTTTTCACATTTTCCTTATCTTCTAATTTTATTCAATTACTGGGTATTACTTATATAATGAAAAGTTTCAAATTAGTACTAACAAAAAATGAAAAATTGAAGTGCAAAATAGAGAAGTTTTTCTCTTGTTCTCTCTCCTGCAGTTAAAAATATACAACACAGAGAAAACCAGATTAAACACATTAGGATTAAAACAATCAACAATAAGTACTAAACTAAAACAAGTAAAATTCAACTGCATTTGATCTGCTTAAAACAGTATAAATATACATGTCATATCATGAAAAAAATTATCAGATTTAAAGGAAAGACAAGTATGTTTATATTTGACTTTTCCCCAATGTCTGAGTGATCTTGAGCAAGTCACACTTACAGTTATCATACCCATAGAATAAGATGGGAGGAGTAGATGATTTCTGAAAGAGCTTCAGATCTAATATTCTATCAACCACCAGAAAGTCCTCTTATCCTTGAATATGCCCTTGATTTTCTTCAGTCATAGAAGGTCCCACACCAGTTTTAACAACTGTGCACAAGATCCTCTGAGCAAGGAGTGTGTCTTGCATAAATATTTACACTTTAAATAAGTCTCCTTCACATAATAACAGTTCAACAAATATTTGATAATAAATCATTCTTCTTGGTATAGTCACATGTTCATGACCTCAGGAAACCTGTCCCAAGATATTTACCAAAAAATTGATTGACCTCTCTGCACAAATAGCAATGGCTAATCTGGTCTAAAATCCAATAATAGTGTAAAAGCTAATTATAATAAGACATAGTACACAGGGTCTGAGTAAGCTGTTTTAACCCAGTTCTCATCATAAGAGAAAACATGGCCCCCCAAAGTCACTGAACACCGTTGTTCTTATGCTCTGTTAAAGCTCTGAGCCATCTTGCACAGTGGCTGCATTATGATCCATCTTTCTGGTTTTGCCTTCCCTTTGCTCTTCAGAGGAGCATGAAATTGTTTTGGTAATTTCATCAGCCTCAGAAGAAGCCAGCCTAAGTATGCTGGTTAAAATGTTCAGTGAGCACGTCTGTCAGCATGTTCAATGTGAGAAACAAAAGACTAAGGCTGCAACCGTAGCTTTAGGAACCAGCAAACAGAATGGCTAGCTAGAGCAAGCCACAGGCAGGAAACCAACCAACCTAGGGCACGGATGCTAAGGACATGGATGCTAAGAGCTTCACAGTCTCTTCAGCTGGGCAGGGCCAGGGCAAAGTCAGAATGGAGGGGAAGAGTGGAAAATGAAGTGCTGTCACTGCAGTAAACTGAGGTAAATCATATCCTTGTCATTCTTGCTTCAAAAAATCATATTTGTTTTTTGTTCTTTTTAATGGGTAAATGGAAAATATGATATATGGTTTAATAAAATTAATCAAAACTTTCAAGACATCGTGTGGTCATCATTTTGCAATATATACAGATATTATTTTGGTATACAACTGAAGCTGACATAGTTATATGCAAATTAGACCTAAATAAAAAAGAAAAAGAGCTTTCAAGTTTCTAGTTACCATGGCACATTCAATGCACTGTAAAATATTTAGCAAAACTAAAGATACTTAAATTACCAGCATTATATTTACTTTTGTAAATAAGGATCAGGAAAGAGATCAACTATTCAAACAAATGCAGTAAATTATTTTAAGTAGAAAGATACACTCACAAGGGAAAAAAAAAAAAGTCTATGGAGTTTTCTACTGTTTTCTGGGACTTCTAATGTAAAAGTCATAGGTTCGGCTCCGGGGTCCCTTCAATACTCCCTACTATATCATAACGGACTTTGGTTTGCAAACCTTTTGTGTTTCGACCATTCTGTAATCACTTACATGAGTCAAATCCGCAACGTCCAAAAAGGGCCTGTTTAATTCTTAACTATATACTGACTCTAAGTATTTTACATGTGTATGTACAAGATACAATTTTTTCTTTTAAGAATATATTATCATTCATAAACTGAAGTAAATACTTATAATTGTGAGTATCAAAAAAATACAAAGCAATACCTGCAGCAAAAACCTTTTTTTGAGAAATAAGCTATTTTGATTGCACTAGGTTGCATATTGATGTGTCTATTAAATGGCATACATGAAAATATAAAATGTCATGAAGTAAAACAGACCTTAAGTAATCAATCAACTTTAAAAATATATTTCACCATGGCTGAGTCATGTCAATGTATGACAAAACCCACTACAATATTGTAAAGTAATTAGCCTCCAACTAATAAATAAATAAATAAAAATAAATAAAAATATATTTCAGCCAAGATGCATGAAATTTGGAGAATACCACTGAGCTGTGATAGTCTGTCTACTTAAGATGTTGCCTCTTACATCAACATCCCATTCACTCCCAGAAAATGATTTTTTTACCTCCTCTAAGCTCCTTCAAATTTTTATCTTCATCTTCACTCTTTGTGTTCTAACTATTGTCACTGTTACGTACTGTGGGATGAATTTTTCAGCTAGAGTGTAAACTCCTTGAGGAAAAGGTGTGCCTTTAAAAATATCTGTAAACTCCAACCACATTGCTTACCATACTGGAAACAGTACATGGTGTTTTGGAGATGAATTCATCCCTTCTTTTCTCCTAGACAGCTCTGGAGCCAGAAGTATGATAACCTTTAAAGCTTTTACTTGTTTTGATTTTCTCCCCAAATGAAATATATTGGCGATCTCAAAAGCCAGGGATGGACTCCAAACAGAGCTGATAAAAGGTGCACAGCTTCTCACTTAATGATCAGGAGAGGAGCTGCTTTCCTGACCCCTTGTAATCCTCAGCCATCTCTAGACATATCTTGTGACTAAAGTACACTTTATTATTCAAGTAAATTCTATCACTGTGAGAAACATGGATGACAACAGTGACCAATCAACCAGAGGTGATGAGAAGGTTGGAGTAAAATGCAATAATGAAACAGGACCTGAGTTTTCATCTGGAATGAGGCTTGACCCACTGAAAGGCAAGAGCCATGTTGGTCCCTGAATCAGAAGTCAGTGGGCCACAGAAGAAGGAATACTGCAGTGGGTATCATAGGCCTTGATGCCAGATCTTATCTGCCACTGGTAATTCTTAACTGGTGGAACACCACTTAATATTCCTGGCCTCGGGATATTTTAAGCTCTTATAAATTGAAGAGGTTAAACTCAACATACTCTGATGTTTCCATAAACTATTAAATTCTATGATTAGAAATCAAACATATCTTAAGCCTCTCAGTAACTGTGCAAACCTGAATAGTATTTTCAGAAGTTTTGAAAAGCATAGTGTCTGAAACAGATGATAATAATAATGATAATAATAATAACTAATTTATTCAACACATTTGTGAGATGGTATGGGCTGCTGTCCTAGACCATGAGGATACAGAGAACAAAACATACCTGGTTCCATGGAGCTTATGTTCTAGTTCAGGGAGCCAATATTTCATAATCCAGTGCATTTGATTGCAGTGAGAACCTTGGAGAAAAACAATGCAAAGATGGTGATAGAAAGTGCCAAAAGGCATTTACTGCATGTAACTGAATATTTACTACACATTTTACATGTATCCTCTCATTACATCTTAACAACAGTCCTACAAGATAACTGCTATTTCCCTGTGCCCTGTTGCACAGATGTGGGAAGAAAAGGGTACAGAGACATCAATCATATTTCCCAAGGTCACAGAAAAAATAAGTAATGCTAGTCCAGAGCTTGTGTTCTAACCATTATGTAGATCTGTCGTCTGCCAGATGATATCATAGTACAAGTCTTTTAAAAGTTCATTAACCAAACTAAGCTTTCATGGTGGCTCAGTGGTAAAGAATCCACCTGCCAATGCACAAGACATGGGTTCTGTCACTGGATTTGGGAAGATTCCCTGGAAAAGGAAATGGCAACCCACTCCAGTATCCTTGCCTGGGAAATCCCATGGACAGAGGAGCCTGATGGGCTACAGTCCATGGGGTCTCAAAGAGTCGGACACGACTGAGTGACTAAACAACAGTAATAACAAACCAAACTAAGCACACATTCTCTGCATTTAGAAAACTCTCTTTTTTCAGCTATGCTTATCACCTAAAAACTATGAAAGGGTGTCAAAATTTTTAAAAGAAGGCATCCTGACATGGGGTTGGGCTAAAGTCAGTGCATCTTGGGCAATAAGTTTCAAAAACAGCATGCAACAATCATAATTAAAAGATCAAAATTGAAAAAATCATGACCAAGTCTTCACACCGTGGTCCTCAACCTTCCACCTGCTATGCTAGTGAAGCATCCTAAATGAATAGGCATGAGAATGCCAATATTATCTTTGTCCCTCAAGCTTGTTCAAGAAGGAACAAGGAGTCACATTTCCATGGAACATAACACCAGAGGCTGCAATGGAATCAGATTTCCCATAAAGCAAACACACATGAGGGTCATACAGAGGAGTGGTTAAGTGCATGGGTTCTGTACTCAAACAGACCTGGCTTCAAGCTCACTCTCTCACCAGCTCTATTTTCTTAGGCAAGCCTACTAACATTCATGAACCCTAGTTTCCTTATCTTTAGAAGAGGAATAATAATAATATCAACACAATATGCTTTTGTGAGAATTAAAAGAGTTAACATATGTTACAGACTGAACCCAATACTGGCATGTAGGAAATCTGCAGTAAATGTTACCTACTGTTATTATTATGAATAAATGTATCAACTTGGGCAAAGGATCTACATTTCTCAAAGAGTAAAAGGTTTGACATCTAACAGGATATTTAAGTTCATTTTTCAAAAAACTCTGCACATGAATGTTGAAGGAACTCCCCACTCTCCCTTCCCAAATCGCTGCCTCAGGAATATATTTAGGCACTAATAGTTAACGGGGCTTCCCTCATAGCTCAGTTGGTAAAGAATCTGCCTGCAATGCAGAAGACCCCAGTTCAATTCCTGAGTTGGGAAGGTCCACTGAAGAAGGGATAGGCTACCCACTCCAGTATTCTTGGGCTTGCCTTGTGTCTCAGCTGGTAAAGAATCTGCCTGCAATGCAGGAGACCTAGGTTCAATCCCTGGGTTGGCAAGATCTCCTGGAGAGTAGAAAGGCTACCCACTCCAGTATTTTGGCCTGGAGAATTCCACGGACTCTGCAGTCCATGGGGTCGCAAAGAGTCAGACACGACTGAGCAACTTTCACTTTCACTTTCAATAGTTAACAGTGGGCTTGGCTTCCCTGGTGGCTCAAAGAGTAAAGATTCTGCCTGCAATGCGGGAGACCTGGGTTTGATTCCTGGGTTGGGAAGATCCCCTGGAGGAAGGCATGGCAACCTACTCCAGTATTCTTGCCTGGAGAATCCCCATGGACAGAGGAGCCTGGTGGGCTACGGTCCATGGGGTCACAAAGAGTCGGACACGACTGAGCGACTAAGCACAGCACACAGATAACAGTGGCAGCATTTCCAAGCAGAAAAGGGCAATGACATAACTCTGACATTTCTGTACATTTATATAAATAACTAGTTAGTGGCTCACAAGAAGAAAGAATGAAGATGACTCCAGCCATGTATAAAAATAGCCAGAGACAGTCAGCCCCCTCAGTCAACGCACAATAGCCACTGATGATCTGCTCATTTCCTCTGTGTTTGGATGACCTGAAGGCACTTCCCAGCAAGTAAATTCATTACACTAAAGCAACGTTCATTCCCAGTTTACACAGATTTCATCCCACCATATCAACAGCCCACATAGCCAAAGAAAGGGCTTTCTAACACATTGTTTCCATGGTGTTTATGTGTTTCTACCCTAAACAGACAGATGCAGATGAAGCAATGCATGTCAATCCCATTATGAGGCTGTGAAATGGGCAGAAGTTTTGCTCCACACTCATGCAATCACACACACTGTGAACATCCTGTTTATTTGGCTCGCCTTCCGATGATTGGCTGTGGTGTATCAGCACATTACTGACAGCTGGGAATTTCTCCAGTGGAACATGCCTTTCCTATGACAAACATCCAAATAGCAATGGGAACACGTGTCTGCCCACTGTGTCCATACGAAGCAGCACGGTTTCCCCAAAAGTAGAGCACATTGGGTGCCTGCATTTGGTTGGAACAGCACCAAGGGGGCCCCCGGTGACCCTTACAGGCCGTATGAGATAATACATTCTTGGACCCCTATTTCCGGACTGCTCTGGGCAAGGTCAGGATGGCAAAGATCCCACTTCCACAATATCAGATGTTACGGTAATTCCTTGGAGCTAATGTGTAAGAGCAAAGGAATGCCTTCAAACCTCATCTAGGCCCTGTGGAATCTGTTGAAAATGCATGACAGCTGTGGGCTTTGGCGAGGCTGTCTGTGAATGTATGAGATTTGGAAACAATTCAAAGCTAGAAATAACTGCACAACTCCTAACCCAGTACCGCGTCTTGCTCTCTCCCTCTCTCTTCCCATCACTCATTTCACACACGCTGTAGCTGGGTCACCATCTCGTCCTCATGACTTTTAGGCATTCTCCACGGCTGGGAACAGTGGGTCACATCCTCCCCACACAAACACAGATGTGAAAAGAAGAAAGAAACAAGGGGTGGGGGTCAGAGCACCAGAATGATTTTAATAAGGCACAAGAACAGGATATTGAGAAAGAGCCTTTTTTTTTTTTAAGTATCCAATTGGGAGTTGAGAAGCAGCAGCAAACTTGCACACTTGTTTAAACGCCCATCTGCAGTGCGAATCATCATCGAGTTTTCCAGTGATTTATAGAGGCACTCATTTTCCTAAACCTGCATTATTTTTCAAGGCTGTGACTATTTACACTTGGCTCTTCCAAGTCTTCTATATATTCCGTGCCCTTCACCATTTACTCTCTCACGGCAAGAGTTTGAGTGTAATACAGTTGAAAAGGACCTAAGAGAAACCAGTTCTGCTCAAAGACTCTCTTTTCTTAAATCAAATGTTCAGTTCAGTCGCTCAGTGGTGTCCAACTCTTTGCAAACCCATGGACTGCAGCACGCCAGGCCTCCCTATCCATCACCAACTCCCAGAGTTTACTCAAACTAAATCAAAAGACTGTTATCCAACTGCCTTACTGATTTCGACCTCAAAATTCCTACCCTTGTCATTTTGACTTGTGTCATCTCAAGATGCAAAGACCATCTACAACCTGACTCATAAACAGTATGACATCCTAGGAAACGCTGGCTCTCCTCTTATATCTTCAGCTACTACTACGTACAGTCCAGTTCCCCCTCAGTATCTGTGTGTGTATGTGTGTGTGTGTCTTGTGTTGGGGTGGGGAGGAGGGCAGGGATTGGTTCCAGGACTTCCATGGATTAAAAATAAAAGAAGATCAAGGATGCTCAAGCCCTTTACATAAAATGGTCTAGTAGAGCGGATATCTGAATCCACAGGCTCTGGTCGGTTGACTTTGCAGATGCGGAAATTGCGGTTCCAGAGGGCTGACTGTATGTTTAAAATATGACCTCTTGGCACAATCAGGTTATTCTCACACAGCTTTTCCTCTTTAGTTAACCCCCAGCTTTGACACACATGGTCGCTGTGTGTCAGTCATTAACAACACAGACTCTTAACTCTTAGCCCAAAACAAACCACACATTACCATTATCCAAAGTTCGGCCAAGGTAACTGGCCAAGATGGAGGCTTTAAAAGTAAGGAATTATTTCTCCAGTGAATATTATCCCGTCGACATCCTAAAATGAAACAAAACCACATATATCATATTTAAAAATAACTTAGGGCCTGGAAAACAATGTAAAGGGGGGAAAAAAAAACCACTCCTCCTGAGAACTTGCTGGATGCTGCCAACCACCTCCTTGGCCAGCTGGATCTCTGTGAGTGTTCAGAAGCAGAGAAAAAATTACTCTGGCCGACCACGCACTAAAACTGATTACACCTAACTTGAAGAATAGAGTCCCAAAGAAATTCACTCGGGGGCACAGATGCTTGCTTGGGGGCATTTACTCTTACATTAGGATCAACTCTAACAAGCTGTGTTAGTTGGATTCCCAGGCCACAATGGATTAGAAACAGTACATTAAAGAAAGTCAGAGTGCTGGTAAAGGAAAGTGTGTTGGCAACCACCAGTAGCACAGCTGCCTGGCTCTATAGCAAGAGAAGAGAGCCCCAGTTCAGCAGTGTGACTGTCCAGGCATTCAGCTGAAAAAGCCCCGGAACATCACACTACAGCACAGAACAATAATAGGCATACATAACAGCGACCCTGAGTCATCAAAGAAAAGATACAGGCTATATAAGAATTCATGGAAGTGCATATATTAATACATTCACAGCGTAGTCACATCCAGTTTCAGAGTTCTGTGATGACCTAGAGGAGCAGGGTGGGGAGTAATGGGAGGTCCAAGAGGGAGTGGATACATGCATACATATAACTGATACATGTCATTATACAGTAGAAACTAACACAACATTGTAAAGCATCTATACTCCAATTTAAACACACACACTCACACACACACACAAAT